TGCTAGGAGCTTGGGGTGATTTAAGCACTGTCTGAGCACAAAGCCCAGCAGGAGACCACCCTGGTCCCACCCCAGAGCTCATCCTTGGGTAAAGCGGGATGAGAAGCAGGGAGGGGGCCGGGCAGAGCTGCTGGTACCCATCAGCAGAGCGCAGAGGGACCTGGGGTCTCCAGGACTGTCACTCCAACATCTCAGCATCGCTCACTCCCCCGTCCCCCCAGGAGCAGGCTGACACTCACACGGAGGCACGTGCCAGCCGTGACAGGCAGAGCAAATGACACGCGCATCTCCTGCTCCCAGGAACAGGCCTTCCGTGTCTAATCCATCATATTTGATGCAGATCTCTTACCCTGAAGTGTTGTCAATGAGGATTTAATTTAGTGCTAATTAGACAAATATTGCATGTTAAACACCCATTGATTATTAAGAGACAGTGAGCGCAGTTGAGCTCGGCAGCGTGCGGCGGACACGCCGTGTTATAGCCGGGATGAGGTTGGTAAATGCCTTGCTGTTTCTAATCATCAGCTAGTAATTAATGTCCAATAACTTGTAACTTGGTTTATCATTATAGATTTAGGAAGGCAGCAATAGTGCTGTATGCTAATTAAATATCAATTGATTATTTAAGGCATATAAAGATTTAACAGCTAGGTAATAGATATACACAGTTGTTAAACTTTAATAACCATCACGCTTCCCCTTGTGTTATTAAGTTGGTGTTTAATGACAAAGAGCCTTGCTCTTGAAGATAACTTTTGGGGGGGATTTTCCAAAGTGCTTGGCTATGTGCAACACCCTGCTGAAGATCTCAGCCCTCTGCTATGGAGAACACAAACAAAAATCAGGAAATTGGGTGCCCCTGTTGTTTAAGTGGGGAAATCAAAGCCCCAGGGTAGGTGAGGTGCCCACGGGCACAGCGAGAGGCAGTGGCAGAGCTCAAGGTGCTCCCAAACTTTCCATCCAAAGTTTTGCATCTCAGCTTCTCTCTCCTGAGACATGCAGACAAATTGCCAGTTCCCTGCCAGAATAAAGCTCCCAAACCCAGCCCGGGAGCTGCTGGCATCCCGTGGGGAGGGCAGCGTCCCCATAAAAACCTCATTGGGAAAAACTTACATGGGCTGAAGTCTGGAGCCATCTCCCTCTCGGTAATAAACAAAAAGGAATCAATAAACGTCAGGCAGCATTGCAGGAGCCCTGCCACCCCATCACCTATAGGGCAGGGTGCCTGGCACCTGCTCCCCATCAGTGTCCCCGTGCCCTTTGGCAGGTGCTGACCATGGGATTAATTTGGGAGGGCTGGGAGCTCCTTCAATGTGGGAGGAAAAAAAAAAAAAAAAAAGATGAGAGACTGAAGCTTGTGTCTGAAATGGAAAAGATAAATGGCTTCTGAAGGGAAATAACCTGCCGGACTCAGTGGGTTTGGCAGCACCCCGCTAAGTGCAGCATCAGTCTTGAAAAACCGCCGCAAGCTCAGCACCAGCAGGACGAAGCCCGGGTTTCCAAAATTGAGATGGAGCATCGGGGGCTGCCAGAGCTCGTCCCTGAGGGGATCCCACAGCCAGGGCCCTGGGGTGCTGGCCACCGATGGCTCCTGGCTTGGGACCGTGGGCTAGGAGAGGGGTGGCGTAGGCAGGGGGACGGCAAGCATAGTCCGATAAATAAAAGGATTGAGGTGGAACAGAGACCTGGCCTCAAGCTGTCACCAAAGGGTGACATGAAGCCACCCCACCGAAGGTATTTTCCTGCATTCCCTATTGCCTGGGAGGAAAATCATGGGACCTCACAGTGAATAGGAACCCCGTGTGAAACCAAAAGCCATGCCAAGAGATTTGTGAGCTCTCCAAGGGCTCCGTGCGAGTGGTGCAGGACACCAGGAGCCCTTCCCTGCAGAGCCAGGGGGAGCAGCACCCAGCCCAGCTGTATGGGGACCCAGCAAGAGAAAAGAGCAGAGCAGAGCTGCTCCCAGGGGGGCAGAGAGCCGCAGGAGCCCCCCCGATGAGTTTTGCCACGTTCAGAGGCGCGTCCCCGCGCCGCAGCAGGCAACAAAAGGGACGTCAAGAGCAATGAGGCAAGGCAGGGGAGGCGTCGCGGCAGATAAAGGATTCTGCAGGTACGAGACAAAACCAGCTTTGGAAACCTCGTGGAAGTGAGTTTAAAGTCTCCGGAGGATATCAATTGCGAGTCTGTCACTTGGTGTCAGGATAACTTTCCGGACAGCTCTCGGAGCTTGTTAAGCTCTTGCTTGGGCTGCATTTGAGCTGCGGTGGCAGCGCTGTCTGCAGGCACAAATGTTGGGATTAGAGATGAGAAAGACCCATGGGTGCCTTCTCAAAACAGGGTGGAACTGTGATAGGGACACATCACGGCGTGCCTTCGAGGGCCAGCAATGCTGTCAGCGTCGGATGCCTTCAGCCCACGGCCCAGCACCTTCCAAAAGTGGTGCTGTCCCCTCCAGGAGCGCACGGGCACGAGGTGGGACGCGCTGGATGAAAGGCAATGGCCTGTTTTATGCAGGTGGTCAAACCAGACAGTCGTCACGGTGTCTCAGCATCGTGATCTATGGCTCCAGGAAGCAGCCCGACGCTTCCCCCAGAGCAATCATTTCATCAAAAGCCCTGCGAGCCTCCCGCTGCTCCCGCCAGCCCTGGGTCCCTAACTTTAATTAAGTCCACACGGTCTCCTCGCGGGAACAAGGGAGGAGAGGGTGACTCAGACAGCGATGGGACCAGCCGGCGCAATTAGCATACGGTTAAGAGCATTAATTAAAACTGGCCCTCCCCCTAGTTATAACAAAAAAAAAAAAAAAGAGCCAAACTAATCAATTCCACTTATAGGGATATATTGGAATAAGGAGCCAGAGCAGGGAGGGTGACGGAGGGAGAGATCAGATGTGACGTGAATGCTAACAGCTCCCGAACGGAGCCGCTGCTGCAGCGAGCCCCAGGCCTGGCTGCTTCCAGCAGTTACTTCGAGTCTCCTTGGAAATGGGCTCAGCCTCTTCCTCTACCTGCTGCTGCATCAGAGCAGCTCCTGTGATCGCACAAAGGACCTTAAATCTCGGCTATAACCGCCTTGATTGAATTAAATGCAACAACGCTGTAAAGCAGCCTCTTCATTTAAGGTGTAAGCACGGAGGCTTTCTTCCCTGCTCACGGCTCTCTCCCTCCTTCTGAAATGATGAGTTGCTCACGGGTTGTGCTCTTTAAAAAAAAAAAAAAAAAAAGTCATCTGATAAAGTGGGTTATAAAACTGGTGGTGGTAATAAACGGAGAGCAAGGAGCCTGATGCAAAGCCAGCCGGGGAGGCAAGGCAGGGCTGTGGGGATGCAATATCGGAGCCGTGATTAATACGTGACCGCGGGTGACGAGGGAGGGAGCAGTGCTGGGTGCCACCCGATGCACTGAACTCGCCGTGCCAGGGACACAAAGAGCAGCACCCTGCCCGAGAGGAGAGCCAGCCCGGGTGACAGAATGGAGGATATCAATGCAGGGTGACGAGCGGCTCCCACATGTCAGAGCCGAGGGAGGAGAGGTGCCCGCGGGAGGGTGGCGAGGTCCCTGCTGCAGCACCAGGCTCTGCTCAGCACGGCTACAAGTCCCCGCTGCGTACATCTTGTCGAGCCTCCAACACATCCCTCGGGAGCACCCATCGTTCAGTCAGGTTCGTTGCCCTCTTGTTTTGTGCTAAAGGACTTGAACTCAACCTTCCTTTCCTCCCCAAATCCTCCTGAGCACCTACAAGGGTGCCTGCGCTCACCACGGCACAAATCCTGCACGGAGATGCCACGTGGGACAGAGCCAAGCAGCGCTGCAAAGCGACAGGCATGGTTTTGCAGTGACTGCTTATCCTCCAACCAAACTAACATCCCCTTCCTGAGAGCTGCAGGGAGCTTAGCTCCATCTCTCCTTCCCAAAAAGCCTCCTCGGGACTTGCCTGCCTCTCTGCAAAACGGGGATAAAAGCACCGCGCTCCCACGGTGCCGGCATCGGAGAGCGGGATGCGCTGCGAGAAGGGGCCCTGGGAGCATCCAGCACTTCATTTTCACCAGCTGCCATTCTGGTCACATTAACATCACCGCCTCTCACCGCAATACCAGGGATATTTTCGGGTACCCAGGAAGCTCCCGCTGCCCCCTGCCCCTCCGCGGGTGACGGTGCCCACCAGAATCACGGCCGGGTGCCCGGGCGCAGACACGGCCATCGGCTCCTTTTTACGAGCCTTCATTGTTATTACCACCTATTTCTTTTTACATTCCTGCCAAAATACCAAACATTAATCTCCCCTCGCTCCCTGCAGGCAAAACATGGGTAATTGGATTTATATGGGTTAGAAATTTGTTAGATTTTTTATATATATATATATATATACACACTATATATATACACATTCACACATGTATGCACACACAGAGGGGAAAATATAAATAAATAGGAGGTGGGGAAGCCCTGCCCTGCTGGGATTTGGGTACTAGGGGGTGGCCTTGAACTGAAGCCCATTCATCTTGTGGACCTGCACCCATGCTCTCCCCGTGGCCTCTGATTTAGGAACTCAACCCTCAGCACTGAACTCCACGAGCTCCCCAGAAGGAGTCACAGGTCATGAATTTTGCCTCCATTGACTCTGTTTTTCCTTCCCCCTTCCTCATTCTCTTCTTGCACCTACCATTTTCTGGTAGAGAAGAAAAAGCTCCTTGGGTTTCTCAGCTCTGGAGACAGCATCAAATACTTCCTGGGGTATTTGTTACCTTACTGCATAACTCACCATCGCCTGACCTGATCCTACCCCACAACAGCTGGGGTTTTCATCCTCCTCCCCCCTCAGCAGACTCTGAGACCCATTTGTGTCCGGAGGAGGTCCATCCACGAGCATAGTCATGGAAACAACTCGTTGGAAGCAAATCTTGGGCAATATTCATAGGAAAACAGAAATGCAATCTGGGAGTCTTTTGCACTGAAGATCTGACCTTGAAGGGTTCTGGGAAGGCAGACAGGACCGACTGCCCAGCCAAAGCAGTGGTAAACAACCCATTACAGGCTAAAATTGCTGGCAGGGGCTGTGGGGGAACTGTTTTTCTCATTAATAAAAAAAAAAAAAAAAAGCAGAAAATAAAAAACAGAACATCCTAACCCTCAAAGGCTGCTTGCAAGGACGGAAGGAGAAGTGATAGTCACCGAATCAGATATTCCTTATGAACTGTCTGCTCGGCTGCGGTATCTAAAGATTATCACTTAAAACAATATGTCCAGCTGTTGTACAAAGCATCCGCGGCGGAGGGCTGAGGAATGGAAGGATCCGCGCCGCGGCGGCACGCTGGGAGAGCAGTCAAGGGAACAGAGAAACTCTTCGGCAAGCGGGGAGGTGAGCGACAGCCGCTGTGCCCCGGTTTCGTTTTGCAGCGTTAACACCTAATCCCTGCCCAGAAACAAAGCGCGGCGCGCGGCGAGCAGCGTGCCTTACCCGGGGAAGGACAGCTCTTACCGCTCGCAAGCCAGGGGAGTTTATTATGCTTGCAAAAAGCTCTCGTGTACGCTATAGCAAAAGGATTACTAACAGTTCAGTCTCATCCCCCGGAGCTGAGTGTCGCTGCTTGTGACTATTTCTGGCTGGCGGAGCTCAGCAGCTTAGCACGGAGCTTGGCTCCTCGCTAGGCAGCGGCACTCGTGGCCTGGCCCTTCGAGAGGTGACGGCAAGTGACAACTCCTCCTCTCCTTGCAGGATGCTGCATTCTGCAAAACGTGCTCTGCTGGCGACGGTCTGCACTCAGCAGGGCTCGAGCTCTCCGTATGGACCACAGGAACCGGTGGCATTGCCACCAAGATGGGGACAGGTCCTCCACCCAGCCCCAGCGGTGCCGGCATCTGCGTTTGGGCACCAGCATCTTTGCACGGGGCTGGCGTGGAGAGAGCCCCCGGCACCCTTCAGCGGCTGCAGAGGCTCAGGGAAATTAGCGGGCACTGTAATTATAACTATCGGGAGCAGCTAAGACAAGTTAAATACCAGCTACCTAGGGAGAAATTATTATGCCAGCCAGGAGGATCCAAATGCCAGAATCCGTGGCTGTAATTTCACGGAGTCGCCAATTACAGCTCCGACATGCCGCGAGCTCTACCTTGGAGACGGCAGGTATATATTTAGCTGCTCCAGAAAACTTTTTGGGGGAGGAGGAGGAGGAAGGGGGCAGCGATGGAGCAAGTCCTCAGTAATCTGCTCCTCGCTGAGCCCCACGCTTCTCGCATTTGCACACAAAAAGCAGCAGTCTCTTCCCACTTCCCAGCGAGGATTTAGCAGCAGCGAGTTCACAACCCCCATAAACAGGTAGGGAAACTGAGGACCGAGCCTACATGTGATGACAATAGGGAAAACGGGCCAAAAAATCTGATTTCCTGACTTTCCAGGCAATGCCCAGAGTCCTGCTGCCTGCTCCTGCTGGTTGTATTTTCCCGAGGCCTCGTCGTGTGCTGCGAGATAGACTGCGGTAGATTATTACCCAAAAAAAAAACCATTGTCAGAAATAATTAAAACTATAATTGCAAAAATAAATGGAAGAACAGCATCTCATGATGTTTTATTCGGGCTTTTTATTTTTAATTGGAATTGTTCTCATGCTCGCTAATTGACCAAACACAGCGAGTCACGGAGTCCTCGGTGCGAATTAGCAGAGCTCCCCTGTTCCTTTGGTCCCCTTCACGGACAAACAACGGGAGAGAGGCCCTGAGCTTGCCAGCACTGAATGGAAAGGTGGAGAGGGGATTTGACTTGAAAACCTGCCTTAAATATAAGAAAAAAGCATCCCTATTATTTTGCTTAGGGAGAAGGGCAGGTATAGATGCCTCATATTTCTCATACGATCTCATCACCACCTCTGAACAGTCGTTTCCTCTAATCACCTCTGAGAAACAGCTGCTATCAGCTCCATCCTACAGATGGGGAAACTGAGGCACAGAGCAGCCAAGGAGGCTCCTCAAGTCCTGGCATCCCTGCGATGGCAGCCGAGGAGAAAACCCAGGCACCCTGCCTGATTTTCTCCCCCCAGGCGCCCACACACGCTGCCTTTGTCTTAAAGAAAAAAAAGTGCCAATATTTCTTAAATACAGATAAAACCATAAAGCCTTGAAATTTCGAGCAGCTGTTGTTTTACGTCTTTATGAACTGTACTGATGCTTGTTATAAAAGGTCGATTTGCTGGCGGCACAGCGATACGACCCGGTTTACTACACATCCCTGCTTTTACACCACTTGAATATTTGCCACTGCAGCGGCACCGCCTGCGGTTCAGATCGTTTCTGCACTCAGGCTCGAACCCCGTGATGGAGAAGATGCTCCCAGACAGGATAAAAGACAAGGCAAGGTTTCTAGCTGGTCTCAGCCCCTTGGGATTGCTGCACATGCTGGGGACCTGCCCGTGACACCCCCATACCACCCTAGGGGACAGATGCCCGTGCCCTTTAGCTCACGGGGCACGCATCCAAGCAGCACCGTAGCAAGCTGACACTCCACAGCACTCCTCCAAAAATAATAATAAAAAAAAAACAAACTTAATCCTTGTTTCCACATCGAGCCCCAGCTGGGAAATTAAACCATGACCTTCCTCCACCTCCCTGCCTTTGGGTTACTGGTGTGCTCGCCGTTCCACTCCGTGTCCCCAACTGGTGCGCAGCGTGGGGCACCGCTGCCATCCAAGCACCTGCCCCGCTTCCCAGCAGGTTTCGTATCTCAGAGTCAAAGAGCAGGAAGCTTGATTTTAGTTTTAATAGTACGCAGAGAATTTGCAAACTGCCTGGAGTTCCCTGGAGAGGAAAGGTGCGTGACTATTATGGGAATTGTTTGTTCTTACAATAAAAAGTGGTGAATTATCAACAGTCTCTGCTTAAAGCCGGGGAATCGTTCGCTGCGCATCTCAGATGACCTAGAAGTTGCCTGCAGATGGAGCCTTCATTTCTGCAAGGATTATGCTGAGCCTCCCTAGGAAAAAGGGTGGAGAGATGGAGAGGGACGCACCCAAAATCCAATACAGGAAAACCACAACCAGCCTGAAAAGCCTCCAGGTTTCCCCACCGCTACTTTTCCCACGTCTCCTTTCTGCAGCACAACGTAGGTGTAAGGACCCGAATTTGGAAAGCGAAGAGCTTCCACCTGCCCTGATGAAGACAGCAAGGCTTGGAGGCTCAGCCCACCTCATGCTCACCTGATAACAGGTCTGGAGGGACCTGCAAGCTGCTGGGAAGGGGGCTAACTCTGCAGGTGCAAGGAGATGGGGGTCTGGGGGTCTCATCACTCCAAGGACCATGCAGGGACTTCTCCCTGCCCAGCAAAGCTCTGGTGCAGCTCCCCCAGAGGATGCCCCGCAGCCTCCCCATGGCGCTCCGGCACACCACCACCCTGCTTGCTGTCCCCAGATCACCCTGCCACATTCTTGTAATGCTCCACGTTGGGTCGGTGTCTGCAATGCTTTTCCCAAATCTGAGCCCCAGAAAAAGGATGCTGGTGGCCCAGAGGCTGCAGAGGGGCAGCCGCAGGGGAATAGGGGTGCAGGGAAGAGGGGAACCCTTGGGAACAGCAGTGTGAGAAGAGATGGGGGGCTGAGGGGGAAAGGAGCTGGAGGCCAGGAGCCCTGGAGTGACTGTGGCAGGGAAAGCTGAATTTGGGGAGGAAAAGGGAGGAGGTGAGAGCGTGGGGAAGATGCACCAGGGAGCATGGGCAGGAGGGGATGCTGAGAAGGAAAAGGGGCAGAGAGAAAGGGCTTTGGGGACAGGGTTTCTCTAAGCACCAGTGCTCGGAGTCCCACTGGGGGCTGCTGAGTTTCCAACAGGAAGGCTGAACCCTCCCTGCTCCAGGGCTGGCTGCTTCACAAACATCCCCTCTCACAAACAGCGCAGAAAAGAGGCCAGAAGCTTAAAAAAATAAAAATAAAAAAAGGAAATCCAAGTCAGCCCTCTGCTGGTGGCAGCCTCGGCCGGCACCAAGCCCAAAAGCTGTGGGGTCCCTGGGGTGGGGGCTCAGCCCCCTGCAGCACCCGCCCCCAGGCACTGTTTCTGCTCTGCCCTCCGCAAGCATCGCCTCTGGGAGTGCCAAGCCCCACAGGTCACTGGCAAAAGGAATTCAGACAGCAAGGGAAAGAGCACCAAGGCCCGAGGCATCCCCCTGGGGGCTGTCCTCTCTTCTTTAGGCTGCCTCGCTCAGTCCAGCTCGGGTTAATCATCGTTGCAATGCAGTTATTGAGAGCACGAGGAAAGGCACCCTCTGCTCCATCACAGCCCCCGTTCCATGGGGTGATGGCAGCGGGGTCCCCACATGGCCCCACTTGCAGGCACACAGCGGGGAGCCTGGCATGGGCAATGTCCCCAGGTGCTGCACAGCCACAGCCCTGTTTGGGGACGTCAGGGGGGCTTATCTCTAGCACTGGACACAAATCAAGCATCCCTCCGTGCCCACAGTGCCTGCAGAGCCTCCTGCAGCATCCCCGGGGGCTTTGCTGCACAGAGGGGCCAGTGGGGAGCAGCACCACTCACCGTACCCAAATACCCCCGCCATCCAGACACACCAACAACCAAGAAACGGGGTGTGGGCACCACAGAACCTCGAGCCAGAGGCTGTCTCCCACCACCACCAAATGTTTCCCCTCCACAAAACCACGGACAGCCTGCCTGAGCCCCGCACCTCCTGCGAGCAGAGCAGCCTCCGACCAAACCAGCGCCAGCTTCACAGCCCCGGGACGGCTCAGGTGCTAAGGGACAGCGTGACACACTCAGCTCGCTTGTGCCATCCTTGTGCATGGCATGGGGAAGAGCCACTGCTCCCCACTGCAGCCCCGATACTCCGGGGTGGAGCAAGGGAGCAGCCAGCCTCGCGCTGCTGGGGCACGCTGCTCGCTGCTGCAGGGAAAGCAGCAGGCTGACTCCTCCAGACTCGCTCCTCTCCCTGCCCAGCATCCCCGTGCTCCTTCCCCACATCCCTGGGTGCTTTCCCAGCCACCCAAACCGGCTCAGGCCCTCCCTAGGGTGCCAGAGCTGAAGCACGGCGCGACCCCGAGCCCCGACACGAGCTGAGCAGTGCCCACAGCCCTGGTCTGCTCCTCTGGCCTCAGCGCTGTGCTGGCTACTGAGAGCTGGTATCCTGCACGGGTAACGCAGCGGGCACACCTGTAACTCGCTCAGGAAATGAGAAGGGCTATCTGCTGCGCTCTGCAGCCCAGAAGCGGCCCGTCTGCGGGCAAGCTGCCTGCGTCTCTCCTACAGCACAGCGCGCGAGGGAAAGCATCCATCAGAATTCATAAGATGCACCCCTGGAGTAAAAGATTGATTTGATATTAACGGCTTCGTGCGGAGACTATAAAGTGATGGGGGCGAAGCGCTGACACCTCCAAGGCTCGGCAGCCCCGAGGACCCGCCGGCGATGCGGGCTGGCGCTGGCACGGCGCAGACCCCCCCTCGCTCCCCGCACGCACCGAGACAACTTCAGGCGCGGCAGCGGCGCGCAGTCACTGTCTGCCACCCCAGCCCCTTTGTCAGCACCTCGTCTGGCACCCGCAGCCCCCCGCCAGCCCTGGCAGGAGGCTGCCAGCCCCGCGCTGCCGCAGGTTCCCCCCTCCCCGGAGCCGGGGGTCCCCTGCCACGATGAGCCCCCGGTATGCGAAGTCTCCAGCCGGTCCCAGGACTCTCCGGCAGCCCTGCTCGGCGCACAGCCACCCTGTAAGGCGCAGACAGGACCTCGCCGTGCCCACCCCAGCACCCTGAACCCCCCCAAAAAAGGCAGAAAGGCAGCGGCTCCTACCTGAGCGTGGCACTCTCCCCTTGCCGCACAGTCACGTTGTCCATAGCTTTGGGGAAGGTGGCATCTCCGCTGCGCACGGGCACTCCTGCGGGCACAAGGAAGAGCAGCCTGAGACAGAGGACGACTAGGCACCTCCAGGGCAGGGCTAAGCACCCACCGACCCCCATCCTGGGCAGCAGGGACTTTTCCACCAGGCAAAAAACACACCCGACAAGGCCACCAGGAGCGAAAAGGGGGGAGAGGAGGGAGGGGGTGCGTGTGTGTGGGGACGGGGGGGAGCAAAACCACCGGGGCAGGCGCGGAGGCGAGCGATGCGGAGCTCCACGGAGATCAGGAGAGCCCCTGGAAAGGCAGCCTGCGAGCACTGAGCCTGCCGAGCGGCATCCGGAGGGAGTCCCCAGTATCCTTGGGTGAGGGAGGAGGACGGGAGGGCCGGGGGGAGGAGGAAGAGGAGGAGAGAAGGTGCAGAGCAAGAGATGAAGGTCACAGATCTGTGCCTGCTCGAGACGCTACTTTAAGATTCAGCCGGGCACGCGCTGCGGAGATCTGGCATCAAAAGTTTATAACCCGAGGAGGAAACGTAAGTGTCTCCGGCAGGAAAGGGAGGGCGGCCATAAAAGCAGGCTGGGGGAGCAAAACGGGCTCGGAGTTGGGTCGCCGGCTGGCTGCTGCTCTTTTGTTTGAATAAGAGAGGGAAAAGGAAAAAAAAAAAAACAGAGAAGAAAAAAAAAAAAAAAGCACAAGCTCCCCAAATGCCGATTCTGACGCAAGATCGAAACTTCCCCGCG